ATGAACCTCGAAAAACTGTATTTCGAAGCTCCGCATTCCAAAAAGTCACATTTTGAAGATTCGCATTTTGAAACTTCGCATTCTCAAAATTCACATTATAAAGATTCGTATTTTGAATATTCACAGATGAGAGAACTGCATCTTCAAAATATGCATTTTGGAGGGATGAACCTTGAAGATTTGCTTTTTGAAGCATTGCATGTTTAAATTTCACATTCGTAAACTGCACATCTTGAAGAATCGTATTCTGAATATCTGCAAATGAGAGGTCTGTGTCTTTAAAATATGCATTTTGGAGAAATGAATTTTGGAGATTTGCATCTTGAAGCTCTGCATTTTGAAAATTTGCACCTTGTAGAAATGAATCTTGAAGATTTGCATTTTTAAGTTCTATATTTTCGAAATTTACATTATTTAACTTAGCTTTTACTGCCTGCAAATTATTAAACTTCCCATTGCTTAGATCTGCCCCTGAAATATTACAACCATTTAAATTTTTCAATAACACACCAACTTGCGTTAGAATTGTAATAGCATTAGCAGAAGCAATTTGAACTTCATTCTCTTTTGAAGCTTCAATAAAAGCTAGTAGCTGTGGTTTGAAAGTTTCAGTTTTTTGCGAAATATGTTCAGCTAAAAATTGTCGAACACCATGCTCTGACACAAATGATTGCTTGTTGAAGAGTTCTATATTTGATGCAGCTTCACATGATTCCAGCAATGCCAGTGCAATCAAATAGTCTCGCAAGGTTTTATGAATAAACCAATATTGGTTTTCATGTCGAATTAATGGTATACTAAAGCGCAACAATGAATTCCCAATATCTTCATTGCTTAAAAATTTTTTCCAATTTGCATCACGTGTTATAACTACCTTATTATCATCAATAAACATTTCAATAGCGAAATTTTTACTAAATTGTAGACAAGATTCTGAAAAGTCATCGTCATCTAAGTTTCTAAATTTACTTCTTTCTTCATCTGTCAATTGAATTTTACGCAAACGCTCTTGCGCACGGTCAAACCATGATTTTAAAAATTCATTATATAAATCTATACGACTTATTCGGGTTGTTTTCTCTTGTTCTATAAAGCGTGGTAAAGCACTCAAAGTAATCTTTAACAGAAATGGATTGCTAACTAACTCTTCTGGTATCTTTTTTATTTGCTGTAGACATATATTTTTACTCAAATTTAGCAGATGACCTTTTTCCTGAACATATTTTATAATGTATTGATTTACTTCTTTCTCAGAAAATGCTTTAATTTTCAATTCTTGAAATCCCTTTTCTCCATTTTTGGGAAAGAATCTTTTTTGGTAACCTTTACCCAAATACTCTGTTCGACAACTAATAATAATTTTTGCATTTTTCCATTCACAAAATTTATTTTGAATGTAGCAATGACGTTCACGTTCAATAATCTCATAATAGCCATCTAAAATAATTATAAACTTTCTTTCTCGTAAAGCATCAATTTTATTTGAGGATAATTTGCATTTTTCCTTTAAATAAAGTTCAATAAAATCTTCATCACTATTAAAAAACTGCTCCTTTAAGTCGCGCTAATGG